AAGCATCAGAGGGGGCGTCTCGAAGGTCATCAAATAAGATCACGCTGTCATCTGCTGAGGGTTTGATGTCTTTCTTCAGGAGCCATGTAAGTTGGACAAATACAACGGAAGCTAATACTTTTTTCATTGTGACGACTAAAGCATAACACATGTAGCTTTATACAAGCACAAAACGATTCGGTAACGTTTTTGCACAGCTCCATACTACTGTAAACCAAAGCTGTGTTACCAAAGGCAATCTAGTTTTCGTTGTACAGGAACTGTACGCTTTAAGAAGTACGAGGCTGTGCGGGAATGTTACCTCGATTCCAATTTTAGGTTGAGCTACTTTACTTTATTTGAATAATCTGTTTCTTCCTCAGAGTGTTTCATATTATTGTGAGTGCCATCTGATAAGAAAACAATCAGATGCTGGAAAAGGAAGGTTTGGTGCAGCCAAAGCTAAGGTAACGGCCTTACATAACACACAAGTCAGCGGTATTGACTTTATGAAAGCTTTTCAGTTAAAGAAAAGTTATATGTCTGCATCGTGTCCATTTTTATGTTTTCCAGAAATGGGGAAGGCAAAAATGCGATGAAGCCACTGCTGCGAAGAGAAAGCTCTACCTGGAACTCTCTCGAAGAGATCATTCTTCTACCTATGCAAAAGGTGATACTGATGGCCCACTCTTTCTGTTTTTGGCGCCAGCCACAAGTTTCGAGAGAGTTGATGTGTATGCTGCAACTAAAAGCAGAGCAATTAAAAAAAAAATGAAAGACAAGAAAAAAAGAAAAATGAGAAGTCATCCAACGAGAGCTTAGTGCCTTCAGTTCACACACTGAACCTGCATGAGATGCAAAAACTCTCTTATGACTACTCTGAGTGGTTTAGATTTTTTGACCTAATGGTTGGTCAATTTAGGCAATCTTGTGGCTAGAAGTTGCATGTAATGGTTATCAAAGCAATTGTAAAATTCTTGTCTCTGGATTTCAAAACTCAACGATTGCTTGATGGAAGCCCTTTGCCTGAAATATTGTGGTCGATCTTTCTTGCAGATGACATCTGGATCATTTCAAAGACTTTGTCCTTCAATCCAGATTCGACATTTATAGCAAGCAGTGTTTATTATGGACCATCGTCCACCGG